GCAAGGGTCTAACCATTGGCATGTAAAGTGATGAGTTTTGAGGTTGAGGTACAAAAATGGTCTGATTAAATGATTCAATAACTTCTAGCACATTCTAAATGACCACAAATGATGAAATAATGTCATCCATGTTGTTGTCTTAACTGACTTTTTAGAACTATAGTCTATATATTACATTATAGATTTCCGTGACTGTGAATCCTAGGCCATTTTTTCTTTAGCGTGTGTTTGGCGCAGGATTTTAGATTGAGTAGACCTCCAAATAATGTCAGTTCAATTAGTAACCACCTTCTATACCGCCGTCAATTTTTTTGTACCCTTTTCCAAAACTTGTTTATCATGTGCCTTCACTGTGAAGATTGCTGTGAAAACATTTTTACACGTTATCGTTATACAGTACATCAGTTTGCAAATGAATTATGGCAATGTTAGTCCATCTGAGTATGGAGGTCACAGGAAAATGAGAAGGCATGGAAGCTAGGATCTTCTCTCCCAGTTGCCAGGTCACTTATATTAGAAGGGCTATATAAATATATAAAGGCTAAATGTTGCCGTCTAACAGGACTGGGGCCTGCTGTCAAGGGCCTGAAACCAACATGACCAATGCTATGTGTTTTCAAAGTGCCCTCAGATCTGCAGACATTTATTTGAGTCTTTTGCTCTCAGTTTTCCATCACTTCACTCCCCCCAGGGTGCCATATGAGGCTCTCTGAGCCCTGGAAAAAAGCTTGTCTGCTGATAAGGTGCTGTGCGCTGGATCTGTGGCGCTGTGCTGGCAGATCTCTCTGTCACAGCGTCGGCAGTGGGAGTGCCACTCCCGTGTCCTTTAATGCTTCGCAATGGGAAGTGACATTGTCATGTAAAACACTTTCCTAACCAGGGCTCAGGAGGCACAGAGCGAAGATCCCACATAGCTGTCGCCGGTCTGCCTTGACTCTCCGATGAAGCATGATGTCAGGGAAGGGCGAGGAACCCATGTTGATGCTCCAGCTCTCGGACTGCTGCACGAACTGACACTGAAAAACAGATGCTTGCAGAGACATTTGGCCTCTGGCATTTTCTCCTACACTGGCAAGCAAGTGAAGTGTTGTACTTTAGAAATGGGAAGGCGGTGGCGTCTGTTGTGCAGACATTAACGCACATGAATAGCCGTGTCCCTTTTTTAAGAGTTACAGTGCCAGGTGTGGGTAAAGCCATCGGCTACATTTTGCTTATATTCATTAAAAGGAAGACAATGGAAAACACTTGAATTACTTGAATACCGATTTCCCTGATGAACCTTTATGACAACAATAGTTTGTATTATTGCTGGTTTAAAGATGACTATATTGGCAAGTGGGAATGTGAATGATAAACAGCCTGGACAAAAACCTAGCGACTATAATAATGTACAGTCTGTAGAAGATCTAATCTAAAAGTTGTCATTTCTTTTTAATTCTTCATTTCTAATTAGCTGTGGGATGCTTGTTTGAGTTGTGTTTTCAAAGTATTTTTTTTAGATTAGATGAAAAGCGTCCTACGCCATTAAGATAAAAGGGTCATAATTTTAAAATAACAACAACAAAAAATCTCCCCTAGGGATTAAGATACTCCAGTTTGGGGCTGACGCAACCAGGAAGCCGCTTTTCTGAGCAGAAGTTGAGTTCCATAATAAGGGGTTTGAGTTGTGACCAGGGTTCCCCAGGTGCTGGTGTATACCCAGCTGAGCACCTCCAAGGCTAGCACTCTCTCGTCTCTTGGAGACGTGGTGACCCTGCAGCCCCTGGGGTGCTTGTGGGGTTTGCGATGCTGCTGGTGGGGGACATGCTCAGTTGGCACTGAACCTGCAGTTCGGGGGCTGTGTTGTCTGTGATGTGTTGAAACACAAGTAGCTTGCACGTAGGCAGGTGGGAGGAATTGTCCCACACTTCCTCGTTTTGCCCTGTGTGTGGTCTCGGGGTTCCTCACTGTGAGCCAAGATGTGGAAAAACGCAAGGCTGACTGTTCCAAATAGGGTGGGTATAAAAAAAAGAATTGTTGATTCTGAATTTATGCCAAAAAGATACACTAGCTTCATTGAGTAAACACATCTGTGCCAGAGTCATATTGGAGCCTGATGCTAATATTGTATACACCTGCTTAAGTAGTTGGGGGAAAAAAAAACATTTGGCTTTGATTATTTTACAAATCTTGAGTCTAGTATTTTCTCAGTCTTATTTCATAGATCATTTATAATGGTTCTTCAATACAAAGAGATTTTGGGTGCCTTGTTAATGGTTGCATTATAAAAAGCAAACTGATACACCTCATGAATGAGTGTGTAACTGCAGAGCTCTTAAAGAACTGTTTCGCACTACACCATCACCGAAGGGACTTTAGAAGTCTTCTTTTTCAATAGGAGTCATTCCTCTGACAGTTTTTGAATGCTCCTCAGATTAACAGAGACGCAGCTCAGTTTGCTTTCACACTGAGCTGCTTTCATCACTGAAATAAACAAGTGACTGTTTGCACAACTGGCACAGCAGATGGCAGATCACAAAGATAATTAAATTATATTGTGCCTTTGCTGTTTTCATTAGGTACAGATGTGTCGCGTTGGACACAGCAAAGAAAGTTCGTCTGTCGATTTGGGTCAGTCATCCAATCAAAATCTGCATATAAATAACTCGCCCATCATCCATCGATCTGGAAGAAGGGCCCATTCTTGGCTCGTCTTCCAGATTGTCTACAATATTGTGACTCTTAATTGCATTATCCTTTTCCCAATTTCATATTTAGAGAGATCATATTTCCTGTGCTTTAAGAGCAATGAGTGGAGGGGTTTGAGGGGTGGAGGTAGAATTATGGTTAGCAGTGGAAAGAAGAGCTCTGGAAGCACAGTAGGATTATGAGAGGCTGAGATAGGTTTTGTTTCATTTTGTGGTGACTAGTGCAGCTACAAATATAGCAACAATAAAACCCTCAAGAAAAACATTTTGAAAATTCTGCAAATGTCTACTTCTTCTCTGCAAGTCCTGCTTTAAAGGCAGTAGTGGGTGTTCTGATGTATGCATTGACTTTGGTGCGTTTTGTCTTGGTTGCTGCTCTGTTCAGCATTGAACATGGCTTTATTATTAAAGTGAATAGAAATCACACCACTTAGCCATTACTACGGATGATGGGGGTATATTTTCTCAGAAATCTAGCATGAAAACAACCTTGGAGCCTTGGAACTGGTGCAATGCTTACAGTGTCCTTGAGTCCAGATGTTGGACTGGGGAGAAAAGGTAAGAATCCCTGGTGTGGAATTGAACCCAGGCCCCCTGCACTGCAAGGCAGCTATAACAACCAGTGTGCCATCATGCCATCCCTTTTATTGTCAGAGATTTTACACTGGATATCTTAACATACCTGAAGTGTAAAACAATTTCTCCTATAACAGCATGGTGAGCACTGTCTGGCTTCTCATTTTGAACTCCTTGCCCAGATGAGTACTACATTTTTGTGGACTTTCTGATTACAGATATCTTGTAGGATAGATTTTCTCTTAAATTATCAGTGTACAGCAGCTAGCAATGAAATGTGCTTAAACATAGGCAGAGCAGGATTAGTCGTGCATCCTGTAACCATGCAGTACGTAAACCAAGTTTCGCTTTAACTGCATTTTAGGCTGTGCATGGTCACTTTCATCTAAGTTCAAGAGGAGGAATGACCAGAATGGTCAGGTTACAGGACATATTTGTATGTGCCTGAAACAGTCAATATAGTTCCTGTGAAATGGAGAAACATATTGTAAGAGAACAATAAATTATTTTAAGAGACGCATGAGCAGCCAGTGTCAAGTAACGGTCAAGTTCCTGTTTTTTTTTATAGGGGTTTTTGACTCCTATCAATGAGGTACCTTCTTCTTAATAAATATGAAGACATCCATCAGTGGCTCTGACACCATCTCATTTGGGTGATTTCCCTGGCCACTTCATGTGTATGGTTTGTAGGTCATACTTCTTGGCAGTTCTAAATTGAGACATTTTCAGCAATGCAAGGAGAAAATCAAACCTCGGTGAGAACTGACAGTTTTCAAGAGTTTTTTTTTTCCACCAGCATGACATTAGCCTTTACCCTCAGGCAGATGGTCCTGTATGGGTCTTGAAATGAAGCTCAGGCCAAAATAAGTAACAGTTAACAGTTTTTCATCAGCCACAGTTCTTCATTGTCAGGCTCTGAATGTCAACTAGCTCTTGAATGAAGTTGGAGTGAATTATTCTACGTTTTAGACCAGGAAATGCAGTACATTCCCACAAATTGTATCTACGATTACAGCTGTAGCCTGTCTTTCCATTTTACTTTTAATAATGACTGCATTTAAAATAATACATTTAAGAAAATGTTTCTGTTGGGCAGAGCAGTTTACATTTTATTATTATCTTGTGTTCTTGTTTTGTTTACAAATTGAAGATGACTTTGAAGGTTGGAGGGGTGCATGATCACCACAGACAGAGAAAGTACTGTACCACAGCTGTGTGAGTGTTCGGCCATGAGCATTCTAGCATCTATTGCACCTGCCATTTCTGGCCAGCTGCTGCAGATATTTAATTTATCTTTCAGAACTTCTCCTGGGAGATCAAACAAATAAGTAAAACTGTGGAAGAGCATTTGGGATTTTGCTAAATGCCAGTGGCGTTACTTATCATAAAATACTTATTACAGTCCTATAGGATCTGATCTTCAGAAGATACAGAAAGCATAATCTTTCATAAGGAAATGTTCTGATTGCTTTTTGGTTAGTTCATCAGTGAATCCAAATCCCATGTGTTAGAGTCTGAATATGCAAGCTATTTTTGGTATGTGATATATGAAAGGTTATGTGCTTCCAAATCTGTATCTTCCATTGCAAAACCTCATAATATGCAACAGCCAACATAAACCACACTAGGCACAATACTCAGAAATTCTTCACCTCTGTCTTCCTTGGAAACCTTTCGCCCCTCGAGGATGTGTACCTGCAGTGTAAACCGTGGTCTGTTTCTGTTTCCTTGCTGTAGATCGACAGGACCGAGGTCATTAAGAGTAATCTGAACCCGGTGTTCTCTAAAGTCTTCACTCTGGACTATTACTTTGAGGAAGTTCAAAAACTGCGCTTCGAAGTGTACGACATCCATGGCCACTGCAGTATCGGAACTCGCGATGACGACTTCCTTGGGGGCATCGAGTGCACCCTGGGGCAGGTAGGTCAGTGCTGCCTTTCACTGGCAAGCAGGAGTACCTGACTTTCCATTCCCTGTTGATCCTAAATCGAATCACTCCTCTAATACTTCCTGGTGTTTCTGATAGTGGTGTGTCATGACGTGAAATGATTGTCGAACTTTTGTTCCCACTGTGCTGTCCATACCTGACCAGTGCTGGAGACATCTAGTCTGTGACGCGTTGTAGAGCATTATTGAATGTCGCAGCATAGATGCCTCAGGAGACCTACAGGACCAGCTGATTCTATTCTGGAATCATCAGCAGATTCTATTCTTAAATCATCCATCACTACAGGTGAACACAGGTGTTACTGGCTATTACTGAGGCGTGTATGTTCCTGTGCAACCCATTTTTGTAGGTTATTTGTAAATACTACTACTTCAGAATGTTTATTAACCATTTGTTTTTCACTTGGAGGTTGTGTGTTACAATGTGTAAAAAATGCTAAAATAAATTGATTTAATGCGTCTTAAATTTAAGACTGTAAGGCAACAAAATGTTACTGTGGAACAGGTGTGTAGCTTTTCTATAGGCACTGTAATGCACTGTAATGCTAGTTTGTCTTTGGTAGAAGGTATTCTCATTGGCACTTTTGCAAGACTCAGAAAAGTCCAGGTTTTTAGAAATTCGTGCTTTACCTTTCAAAAAAACTCAATTCAGTTTTTTTTTTAAATGAGTAGGTGTCTGCTTTGTTACAGTACTTAAAGTGCATCATGTGGTCTGAAGTGCTTATTGGAGCTAACAAAATCCATTGATTTTCCTTTTTCCCTTTGAGAATCTTATTTGAGCAGAATTCTTCAGGGTAATTTAGCAATCTTTCAGAATGAGGTACTTCAGGGTACCCACATCTTAAAAACACAAGAGCAGTAATGAAAGCTTTGTTTCAGACAAGGACTATTTTAGCAGCTGAAATTTTAAAAAATGGTGTGGAGGCGTTGGGAATTTGATGGAAGTGAAGTCCAAAGTTTAAGCAAGTTGTTTCTGAGATATGATATAACATTCTATCAGGAGCTTCAGTTGAATGGCTAAAGGATAAAGGACAACTTTGATTTGACATATCAAATATATACGAGTTCATTGGTTTTATTCTGAATGTAACCAGTATATAACAACAGACTGAACTTTCAGAACATAAATCACTCTGTCTATATTCTATACTACACACCATTCCCCAAAAAATCTGAGATAATAAAAGACAATGCACTACTAAATCATTACTGCCTGTCTGTGAAACCTAGAAGACTGAGCTGTCCAGTACTATCCTAACTTGTGACAGTGATGGAGTATGTATTCTTAAAAGCAGTAGTGCAGCTGGAATACAAAACTGTCCATAAATGCGGGTGGGACAACAGATTGAATAATGGTACTTGTGGATGCAGTTTTATCACATCGGCTTGGTTATATTGTCTGTGATAAATGTATAAAATATCACACATTGAGAAAATTAAAGTTTTTGCTGAAGGCCAATATCAAATGAAAATACAACAAAAAAGATCAGGTTGTGCTCTTCGGAAGGATTCACAAGTACAAACAACAAGTTTGTGCCTTCTTGACTTGAAACAGTAACAGCTTGTATTATACCAGTGGAAAGAAGTGCATTCCTTCTGGTTTGTCATAACTTAATGATCAGTAGCTGGCTGTCCAGGGAGAAAGCTGATAAAAACATCTAAATGTATACTACCAGAATATCAAATGTCTCAACATGCTCATCAAGCACCTTCTTGCTGTTCCTTCAGTACACTGTAGGGCAGTAGGGATTATTCATTTAGAAATATAACTACATTAAGGTTGACATAGGCCTGTTAGTATTCATTTGTGTTGGTTACCGAAAGTGACTGCAGAAAAAAGGATCAAATTCATGCATAAAACTAGGGAGAGCAAGGGGAAAAGTGTATGGGGAAGTAATTCTGTTGCAGAAATATGCAGATTTTCTCCATACATGCTTTTAGTTTCTGTTGGGGACTGCAAGTCAGTTGATCATAATTAAGACAGAAGTCTGGACCTGAGTCATCCGAGCACACATAGAGAAGCCTTTTAATTGAGCCTTGAAGATAAAGGTGAGAAAAAACGTCGGCCTACAGTGGCAGTACTCATGCTGTTTTGTCATTAATATCTTATTCAGAACACCGTGATATTCAAAAACTGACACAAAATGTGAATGCGTCTGCACAGTTACTATCATAGTGGGAATCTGTCACCTTTCAGAAGCTCTGTATGAACGACCAGCTAACAGTGTAGAGCCTTAATTAAAAGTGTGTATGTGAGTGTTTGAAGGGAGGGATGTGCAGGGTACAAGTTTAAAGATCATCAGCTTTCAGTCAGTGTAGAGCTCATGGCGCAGTCAAGTATAGTAGGATACATTTTCTTCTGTTTCTGCCTTTGAACATATTTAAAATTAGGTCACTAGTTTTTCTTCTTTTTAAAGTATTCCGTTAACAATAAGGTAATTCATAAACAGCACAACAGGTTTCTTATGTATGCAACATTTATCTAGTGAAAGACTGGTACCCATGTATATCAGCATAGACCACTGTTACAACTCTTGCAATGTAACACTGTTGGATTAAAGAATAAAAGATAAATTGGATTAAAGAATAAATAACATGAAATCTGAAAGTGACTTCACTGAACAAACATTAGTTTTTACAGATCTAATGCGGGTTTGGGTAACTGTAGTTCACTACTGTATCTGAAGATATTGCTCTTCAGAGCATTATTCCATTAGGTTTGAGATCTTCATGCAATACAAAGTGGTACATTAGGATATAAACCAGTCAGCTGCAAAAAATGCTGAATAACCTGTGGCTCTTTCAGTGCTGATTATACGAAATGTTTGAGTGTTCTGACACCAATCACTAAAAGGATATTTCAAGGTTGGTGTGAGACAGGTCAAAATGTCACTGCACAAATGAGGTCTTGAGATTTTAAATCCAGGGTTTGAGAGAGAAATGTTGAATTGATATACAGTAGAGTTCAAGAACATTTTAATTTGTCTTTTACCTTGAATTTGATTGTGACATTTTGTCAGGGCAGTGCACACTTAACACATAACTATAACCATGTAGAAATCATTCTCAAATTGCAACTGATTAATGAAGGGGTGGAGAGGACATATTTTAAAAGGTAGATATCTATAATATTCCATAAGTGAAGTGGGCGAAATGATATTTATTGATCTTACACCAGTACACAACAAATATCTACACTCTTAAGTGTTCTCTAAGACTCTACACATCAAAGGCCAAGTCTAGAGGATCAGACTGATGATGAGAACTGACTGCTGTGTTACACAGTTAGGTATCTTTAGTTAGGTTTTATCTTTAGCTCTAGGGTGGAGAGGAATCTGCTAGATCCAGAAGCTAACAGCTGAGGTTTGGTGCGTTCTTTCTTTCTGTCTTTGCACTCCTTGTTGTGTTATCTTCTATAAACTAATGAGTGATATTAAAGACTTCCATCACTGTGATGAGTCTCCTGCTTCCAACAGATTGTGGCCCAGAAGAAAATGACAAAGCCTCTCTTCTTGAAATATGGAAAATATGCTGGGAAGTCCACCATAACAGTAAGTCTTATTATTTTATTTTTTATTAAGTTAAAAATAATACATCTAGTGCAGGAATTGTATAGAAGCTCTTGCTATCAAATTGCAGATGTTTCTTTGAAAGTGGATAGAAAATCAGTTTAATGAAAACCATGATATCAAATTCTACATAGCTGGACATAAGTGTGAGTAATGATGGTTAAATGGTGTAATGGTTGTAATTAAAACCTAAGAAATGAGAATATACAGTATATATAACAGTACATTATATGTAGATTGCATAATGTTTACATTAGTTTGTCTAGAGATAGAAACCTAAAGATGTACTGCATTCAAACCTACAAATTACTGGTATCATTAAAATGAAGTGAATATTTCTTTAAATTTGTATGTAAATGTCACTTAAGCGAACAATTTAGAAAAGTAAGGTACTCCACTTCAGAAAAGTCAATGAAAATGAGGCACTTGAAAACAGTCTGTCATCCTACAGCAAAGATGAGTCATCTACATCCTACTGGTGTTTTGTGATAATTAAGAGCAGTGCTGTCTTGTTTAACACACCAATAGAATTAAAATTCAAAGAATGACAAAAAAAAATACAGAACAACATTCTGGACTTTTACGATTCAAATATAACACAACAGTGAAGTTATACTGCTCCGGGTAATTGTCAGGAAAGTACAAGGCCTATTACTGGCATTTCACTGCTCTCCGGAAGGAGTGTGAAATGGGAATAGGTGAACAAAGAGGGGCTGAGATCAGATGAGAGCAGTTATCTTGTCTAAGTGGGGTTTGTGCCTCAAATGAGATTATAACAGGATGGACCCTAGATGGACTACATGCATGAGCAGGATTGAAAGTAAGTGTGTTCAAGTAATTTCTTAGAACATGGTTCATTTCAAAGATACCTAAAGCAGACGTTCACTGCTGACATGCACATTCCTGGTGGTAATGATGAGGTATTGGTGGTAAGGGTTCAGACTCCAGACACATGCCTTCAGAGTGATTTGGATTTCGTCAGCAACTGTGCAACCTTTGCAGATTATGAAACATGAATTTTGCATTCTTCTAAAGAGCTGAATGAAATGGATTCAATGTAAAAAGCATGCACTTGCAGTCCATTAGCATTACCATACACATATTGCTAGTAAAGAGGGTGAACATTAGGCTAATGTACAGTATGTATGGGACTTTGCAGTTGAAGTATTAGTCTACTAATGTTCCAAGATTTTTTTTTTGTAAAGAAAAACTTTAAATATTTAAATCTTTTAAGTGTCAAGTCACCTAAGATGTAACTGAAATATCACAGATATTTCTCCCTCGAATTATGATATAATCCCTTGGATGATGTCTTTAAAGAAGTTGCCTTATTTTTGTTAGGCAGTGTGCAATGGGCAGTAAACTTTGTAAATGACAAGTTAGCATCAAAGACCGTTCATAGAATGAGAGTTCCGGAAGATAAAAATAGTTTAAGGAATCATGATAGATTGAACTATTTGTCAGATGTGTTTGTTAGATTTTAGAGTAGTGTTTTTGAGAGATCTTGTGGAATTCGAATGATTAAGACACATCTTCTAAATTCTTTATTTTAGTGTTTGGCAACACTGCTGTGTCAATTGGGGGTGATGGGATGATTATAAATAGGGTGACAGTAGGAGAACGACATTGAACAGATACAGAATCGTTAGATCTTTCTCTGGATTTTGCACTGTGAGAGGGGGTAGTTACTGCCTTTCATCCAAATGTGTGTTATGTCCTCCTAAAAAGACATAAAAAGGAAGGATCAAGAAAAGCAGTGTGGGTTTGGGTTTTTGGCATGGAGGAGGGTGTATTTTGAGAGAAGGTGGAGTCTAATCCTAGGTTTGGCAGGTGGGATGGAGTTCGCTTCTGGGGCTACAGCAGAGAAAGGAGGAGGTGAACTAAGCTGGTGACACTGGCTCAGCAGTGACTGGGTGCTTGTCAGAATGAGTTTTGATGGGTGTGCAAAGCGTCTTGGCTGGAATCCTCATATAGTTCAATGCTAATATTTTCCAGGGGATTTGTAATAACCTTTCTGGGAGAAAATACTTGAAGTCAGTTTTATTAATATGGTAATAATGAGCCTGAATCCAATTTGGTATGCAGCTGCACATGAGCCACTCTGTGAATTTGGCAGGTTGCTCAAGGAGGCTTAAGCTAATTTGGAAGAGAACAATACTTAAAGCCCAGTAGCGTTGTGTGTGCAAAATATTGTGACAAGAACAGATTCCTGTCTCATGCGCAGTATATTAATAACACTACAAATTCCAGATTCAATCATGGTAAACCACATTCTTTGTTTTGGCTAGTCTTTCTCAGACATGATCTCCAATTTTCCGTGTAGTGAAAAGACCAAATTCTGTTTAGATCCCTGGAATCATTTCTGAGCTGAATCCAGGAGAGGTTCCAGTCGTGGTTTTACTCTAAAAACCTTCCAGTTGGTGTGCTGGCTATAATCCAGTATATTATGGTCTATACAGTTGCAAATGTATATTAATTCCCTTTTTTGCTTTATGAAAATAGTTGTGAAGTGCTGGCCCTCATTTATTATTGAACGGTAGAAGTAGAAGAGTAATCAAATTATGTGATGCTGTGTTCATTTTATACAATTAATTACACTGACTAGTTACCGTCCTGCATATATTTTCCACATCATTTATTCTTGGGCAAGGAAACAATTTCCTTTTCTTTCTTTGTAAAAATCTGGAACTATCAGTTCTTTTTCAATGATATATCCATCCAATCTGGAGCTGCTGGTTGTTTAAGGCAGCTCCAGTTCCATTGCTACACAAGGACATGTGAGGATCTGCTGATCAAATCAGCCATCAGAGCCATTCATTTCTGAACACACTTCCAGCATTGCAGGGCCTTACAGGACAGTTGGCACAGACTGGAGTGTCCCTGCAGCTTTGCAGGTGCCCAACACTTTACAGGAGTTGTTGTTTCAGTGAAAGCCAGGAAACGAAAGAAACTGCCGTTGCCTAGTGACATGGCCGAGGTTAGAGTCTAGGCTCATCTTGCACTCCAAGTTAGCATCTTCCAAGCCGAACCATAGAGGATCCCCTCTGAAACCCTCTCCTTGTGTGTTGTACTGTACAGGTGTTAGTTTCTGAACTGAACAGTGGCACAGTTGGAGAGATCGGCTCAGTGCCCAGTGTTGTCTTTTCAGCTGCGTCAGTCAGTAGAGTCTCATGTACTTCTCATGTTGTACATCAGAGGAAGTGCGAAGACAATGTGAGCGCTAAAATAGCAGAGTGAGAAATCGCTGTCATAAATAATGCACTGGAAGTATTTCTGCTGCTGGCACAACGATTAGGAGGATGAAGGATTCCAAGCTGTCCTTCATCTCCCTCTGACCATAAATAAAAAAGCACACTTCACGTTTTTCACATTGGCTTTGTTTCTAGGTGAAGAGAATGGACAAAGAAAGAGTATCTAAACTAGTCCAATGACGCTTTCAGATTTTAAAATGACAACTAAAATGCTGTTCTGAATTACAACAGAAACAGATAGTCCCACAAGTTTGAATTTCAAAAATATTTTTCCTGGTTCTATAAATTGGAGACAATAGAACAAACGGATTGTCAAAAGCTTTCTTCAAGGGGAATGGATGACATGCATTCCCTACCTGAATCCAGTCTGGTCAGCACTGCAAGGATACCAGTTTGTCACCTGCTGATACATGCAGTATCTCAAATGCTTTCAAGCAGTAAGAAGGATTCAACTTTTGAATGCCAGGCTTGGAATTTATCGTTTGTGATGGTCATGCTAAATGAACAGTGAACATTCACATTTCTTCTCTGACTTTATATAAAAACTATGATATCAAATTGTTAAAGGAAAAAAAAATCTCTGGGGCATTGTTGTAGTAATCACACCTTCTGAACCGGTAAATAGAAATGATCTCCTCAGGTATAAATGTGCAAAATATTTAAGGAAAAGGAGTATTACTATCACAAAAAAACACTGATACTGTGCTTCTAGATAATCAGATATAATGATGCTGCTTGCTGAATGCTGCTGGGTAATAGTTATCTGAGCACTCAAAAATTCCTGAGGGGAATCCGAGAGTTTTTTCTTGCTAACATAATATGAGTGAAAAAGTCATAAAATAACTTGTTTTATTATTCTTCTGAGGTTATTGCTGAAGAGATTTCTGGAAACAATGGTTATGTGGAACTTTCCTTCTGTGCCAAGAAATTGGATGATAAGGTATGTTTTTGTATTTTTCTCTTGAAAACAAGAAGAATATAATAAACTTGGAAGTTATGAGTGTCTGCTCAACAACAAATGAATTATTTTGGGAATTTATTTTGTAAGCCTGGTTCGCAACATTTCTCATTTCCAAAAGACAAATGTTACTTTACCCTTTAGAACCATTTTTTGGGTTTATTGAACCAGATTATTATTGATTATCCGTGAGTATGATAAAACTAACGTTTTAAGGTCATTAGGTTTCAATTCTATATTTCCAGTGGAATCTGAATTTCAGATTAATGTTTCTTGCAGTATTATCCCCTACAATATCTTGAGTGTCCTTCTGCAAGTAACTGCTAAACATTTGAAGCAAATGTTTTGAATTTATTTTTTACATATCCCAATTTCTATACCACTTTGCCCTTAACATTTGGAGTAAATTTAACATTTGTAGTCTGAGTAGTGAACTGAACTGCAGTGTATTATGGTAAACCTACAAGATCAATTGCTCAATACACTTTAACATTGTGACTGTTTCAAGAATCATGATCGTATACAAATAAAAATCCATTACTTTAAATGTTCCTCATAAAATAGACATTAGGGAAACGAAAGAAACTGCTGACATTTCAGAATTGTATTGTATTTTTCCCTGTATAAAAAGCCAATACAGCTCCATGGCAGGTTTTGCTTAGCTGCCAGCTTTAGTGGGAGTTAAGGGGTTAAAAATCATGCTGCTGTTTCCTGTCAAGCGGTTTTCATTGTTGCTGCAGCAGAGTTCCATCTGTCTGCTGTTTGTGATGACACAAGGACACCAAGCTTCTCCCTGCACAATACATACAGACAAACACGGCCTCCCACACAGGCGGGCACAGCGGAGAGACAGAGAAATGTACGACTGCCCCAGAGCACGTCAAGTTGCCGTTTTGTGCACCAGCTTGCAAGCACTCTCCGATGCACTGTACACAAACACCTACACAGCTCTCCACCCACACTCCCTTCCTGAGCGCGCTGCGGATGAGTGGCACACCGAGAGCTGCACTTTGCAGGTTATCAGGCTCCATTTCCACTCTGCCTTTGACAAAATTCTGCCTTGTTCTCTTGGCAAATTACCCTCTGCTGCTGTGTTATCTGCCAAATATATATGTATACGCATTTGAGAATAACCCTGAGTTTATGGGTTTCTAATTGTTCATTTCAGAAAGAAATTAACTTAATTTGCATGAGACTTTAACCTCATGGCTGAGTCAACCTTGAGTCTTGGCCCCATGGCTGAGATGCAGAACTTCAGTAATGCTTGAAAGTGATTGCTGAAAAATGGATGCACTGAAGGCTGCAGTAAGCATGGCAATAAAAAGCACACAGTGTTAAGAACACACGGAGAGGATACCCCTTAGGCTTGTACCATAAAACTCTTAGCCTCTGGTTTGTGCACATTAGTTCAGTGTCTAAACAGATGCCCGTCTGCCACTTCAAAATCTAGCTAGAGCAAGTAAAATCGATAAAAATGATACTCTGTTACTTTGCAGAGATGAATAATTAAACTAATGCACAATTATTTCAAAGAAACCACTTAATTCTCTCAGGAATGGCACTTTTAACAATTGTATGTATATACAGTGTGCATTGTTTTTTTTTTAAAACCCAGTAACTGGTAATAGCAATCATATAGTAGCTACAATAGTAAGACTGCCCTTAGGAGCTATTTATTGCCCTTGTTAAAAACAACCTTTATGTATTCATTATTCAGATATTGACCAGTTATGAATTAAGACGGAAACAGTCATGTTGTAATACATTCATTTTGCTTGAAACTCATGGTGCCTGGCCAATAATAAACTGGTCAAAATTAAGTAGCTGGAATATGTAACATGACTAACTTTAAAACAAATGTATTTACAAAATAAAATATGATGCATGTTTCACTCTTTATGAAATGCACTTTAAATCACAAAGCACTATTCACATGACTTTCTGTATTTCCCAAGCTTCAGGTTGTGAACAGCCTTTTACTGTAAAGTGTGACCAATCTTATTAGAGAAAAAGGAAAGTTTGCATAGGGCAGAAGAGGAAAATACATCTGAAATGGTAACATTCCTGGAAGAACATTCTTAATCACATTCCAAGAAGGTGGCTAATGATGTTGACTTGTGCTAGTTTATGATGTACAGTATGTCCTTTATTGAAATTATTTTAAGAGAACTTGTCCTTGCTAATAGCTAGGCATAATGAAAAACAGAATATGCTGTTGATTATACCTGTAGCTTGTTGATTATTCTTAATTAAGGTCCTGCCCTGTGACACAATGACAATTTTGTAATATTTGAACTTGGTCTTATAAAGTACTTTTCCCTTGAAAGTTGGTATTACTTTAATAAACAGGCACTGGATATGTCCCATTCCACTGACTGCTGAAAGTGTTCGAGTCACCTAATATTTGCAATATAATACCGCGTGTGTGAAAACATGTTGAGTCTCAGCTACCGATGAATAACATTTTTAGTTCTGTTAGTACCGGATAATACAAACTCACATGAAGATCAGCTATGAACATTATTTTTTTTCAACAGGGGAAAATCAAGCTATCAAGAAAAACAATGAAAAAAAGAAGTGCTTTAAATTAGTTCAAATGCAGTGCACATATGCTTCGAAGGTCAGATTGTACTCAACTTTGTAACTGGCCAAAGAGTTTTGGCAGTTACTGTTTGGCTTTATGACATAAACCCAGGTATTAGTATGTGAGCGTGAAAGAGCCTTCCCTTGAGCTACAGTAACAAATAAGTTATACTAGGATGTAAGTAAGTCATGCGAAGGCTCCCATGTGTTCTGAAAGAAAACACTTTTGTGAAAGGCCAAAGTTATTCCCTCCAGTGGTAAAAGATCCAAATCTTCTGTATATGAAGCCAGTGTATGGATACCTCCATATTCCAAATGTGGGATAGGGAATAAACTGACATTTTGGGGTCTGACAAAGGGGGAAAGTCTACCTCAAGACTGGTCACAGGGCACAAATGTTATTTCAGTGGGATGTACTTATGTACCATTATGTTTGATTTCATTCCTAATCATGACTCAGAATCAGATTACTTTAGGGCATGCCCACATACTGTAAGATATGTGTGCCAAATTTAATACAGCAGCTGGGGAGATTTCGGGATCACGCTTATTTTGAGCTGGGTGTCCCACTGTGACTTGTGAGCAATCTTGGGCTGTACCCCTTTGGCCATGATGAAGTTAACACTCCAGCTTTATTTTCCCAAGTCATGTCCATCATCTGCTTGTTATTCTTGCATAGCCATAAAAGGGGGTGAGAAATGTGTGAAACCACTTTGTTTGAAAAACTTTCCTTCAGTTTACAGTGCCTTGCACAAATATACAGATAGTTCCTATGGCGTCCCATTTTTGTGAAATTACAAAAAATGGCATACTGTACCGTGCACATTTTATTAAACTTTGTTTTATGGCAAAACATGAATGCTCAAACTCAGGATTTCTAAGGATGAGATAGGTTAGAATAAATGTCATTGAAACCTAGAGAGAGAAAAAACCCTATTCAGATTACATAAGTATGGAGGATTTTGAACTCGATATTTGTTGGAAGCACTATGGCAGTAATTGCAGCCACAAATCTTTCAGTTCTTTCAGAAGTCAGTTCTCGAGCCTTTCCACAGATTCTCAATAGCATTCATGTCAGGACTGAGCCACTCAAGAACATTCACGTTCTTATTCTTATGATGCTCTAGTGTAGGTTAGGCCTAGTGCTTTGGATTATTGTTCTGCTGGAAGGTGAATTTTCATCCTATTTTATGGCCCTTTAGGGAAATTTTGTACATCTTAAAGGGTATGAATGTGTATGAAATCAGGGCTTTTCAGTTTTTCATTTGTATAGTTTCCTTATTTGTTTTTTTGCTTGTGTTGTGTGTAGTAGATGTATAGATGTACAGTATATGTAACAAACACTAATTGCTATTTCAAATTAGGGTAGCATAATATGACATTTGTGTAAGGAACTGAATATTTTCGCAACACACTCTTACCTCTGTTGGGCTGTATGTTTTGTAAGGTTTGAGGAATCAAAATTTAATCGTAAAACATAATTTGGAATATCAAGTTTTTGATATCGCTGGAGTTCAAATTGTATCATTAAATGCTATGTTGAAGTCTGTAAGCTCTCTGTCATACTAATCTATTGTAATATCATGGTTAGGAAGTAAAACAATCAGGATCATATACATCTGGGGGCAAACAGGAGTAGTGTCTCTCTAATCTAAAGTTTTTTATTTTTTCTCATTCTCAAGGAAGGTATTAAATAAAACTTATGTTCAGTGGGAGTGCATTCCATTGTTATTTTAACGCAACCACCCTATTCATTCCTCAACTATAGTATGCTGAGATCACTCACTCCTTGCCAGATCCATTCAGAAACATATCTGAGTTGTGTGGTTCAGTGATAACAAGTGAGGTACTGCTAATCCACCTTTTTAACAGGGAACAGAGCTGAAATCTCCATTTGCACTCTATCTGAATGTACCCTAGCAAACAAAATAAAACTATTGTGAAAATTCTTTAAATGAGAATTTGTTTTTAAGGTTCTTAATTGTGATGAGTAGTGATATACTGTCTGCATACAGTGACATTTTGTGTTCCTTGTTATTGATTTGAAAACAAGCTGCATCATTGTTAGCCTTGACAGACGCTGCTAGGACTTCAGTAAAATAGGTCAAATAAAAAGTGAAAAGGAATATGCCTATTACTCCTGTCTAATTTAAAGAGGAAAGAAGAATACAAATTGTTTACAACAGATGTGGAATGTGACTTGGGAAAA